TGTCTCTGCGACCCCTCTCTCTACAAAATCTCTAAAAACCTGGTCTATTAAGAAGAATAATTTGGTCGTGAAAAAAACTTTTTAAAAATAAATAAAATATTTTATGTTTATATAATTGAAATGGAAGAGACAAAGAATGCACGAGATGTCAAAAACCAAATGTCGATACTCGAGTTCAAAGTCGGTCGGCGAGAGACCTAAGACTGTAACTCTTTGCATTGATTACGTCACGATACGTCTGCCTAACCCGGGTATACACGGTAGAGAACGCAGAGATTGCAAACCCGTCGCGATAGTAAACAAAAAAAGTGTGTTTTAAGATTGTAAAAAGTGCGACTTGCGATGTGGTTTATACGACAAAAAAACATTTTATCGACGAGAAATTTGTAAAAGATTAACTCCATTGGGAACAATGATATAATGATCTTTGTTATCAAGCCAAACTTCAGTACATAAAATACGCTCCTAATCTGCCCAGACTAGATCGTTGCCGTCACTATATGGGTCAAATCAAATCAATTGAATACTGAGTTGTTGGGATTATTCAAGCGAGAAGAATTAGATTGATGTGACAAGATCACCAGAACCTTTGTGATTAAAAAAATAATTTAGTAAAGTAAAAAGTAATTTGTATCACTTACAGTTATTAACCAGAAATGAAATTTCGGTCTGATAGCTATCTGGTATGGCTTCGGGTCTAGAATTGTTTTCGCTAAAATAGGGTTGTATCTCTATAAATTTTAAAAGGAGGAAATAACTTTAGCCGGCGTTCGAATCAAAGACCTTATAAGAAATCGCCCAAAGCCAATGATGAAACCACGAATCGGAAAATGCATTTTATAGTGCGGTTCCTTGATAGTATTTTGTGCGTTCCATAACCACAAGGTGGGAGTCTGTGACACGTTGTGCGTATGTTCTGTACACGACAAGCGGCCGCTGTACCGTACTGTAATCGCAAAGCGGCGTGAACATAAATGTTGCGCCGTAAGTCATTGCAAATATTTTTGCAAAGTTTTGCTTTTATTTGTGGGACTCGAGTCTAATTAGCCTTCGCTCGAGTCAAGTCGAGTTTTCTGATGAGAGACTCGAGTCGAGTCGCGTCATTTGCTCACATTGACTCGAGTCGAGTCGAGTCATTTACTCATATGGACTCGAGTTGAGTCAAGTCATAAACAATTGTTACTCGATCGGACTCGAGTCGTTTCATTGACTCGAGTCACTACAACTCTGATTTGTAGAAATCAAGAGTTTTAGAAATCGTACAAGTCGAATTGCTTTCGTATCTTCGTGTACATCTGTTTTTTAATGATTAAGAATCTGTGTCGGTGTACATTATTCTAACTCTATCCGCACATCGTTTTTATTTGATTGTAGTAAAAGTCGTACGTGAGAGTTGTTTAACAGCGCTTTAGTTTTCGTACATTTGAGGAAAAAAAATGATAATTTACAATGCGGTGGTCGATTTATAATTTGGTGTAGACACAATTTTGTATTTTTTCTCTTGTTCGTCTCTGAGTAGAACTGTATTTAGTCTATTTCTCACGTCTCCATTGTCTTGCTAAATACTGAGTGGTTCATCATATAAAAAATATATATATTTTTCAATGTCTAACTTTTTTTTTTCTGAGTCGAGTGTTTTTGTCCATGTACGACTTCACCCAAGGTTTCTGCGTAAATTATAGAGCGCAATGTACTTTTTCGAGTTTTAACCCAAGCTCCGGATACATCTGTGGCGCGATGTAATGTAATACATTATTTGCGTTCAGGGTTTAGTGTACCGGACAATTTTGGTTCGGCTCGATCGACAATAACATTCGTTGATACACAGACACATATTCCTCTGGCATGTATTTTTCGGGGTGCTCCCCGAAAAATACATGTTTGTCTACTTCTGGCAACAGCTCCAATTCGATTTGAGAGTGTTTTAACAGAGCGTCACACAATAACCCGGGTGTTGTGTGATAATTAATTGGATCTAACATATAGGCCCACTTGACTTTACACACTCGCCTGGAATTCTCAAACACGCCGGGAGCATAGCGTCTTCGTAGTCACTTAGAAGTCACGATATTCACCCAAGGTTTTAACGTTCACGTTCTGCCACGCTCGTTGCGCTCTGACGTCATCTTCTGTTGAGATGTGTTCGTTTTTTGAGACTGCTGTAAAATTGGCTTCTCGGCGGTGAGCGGGTTTGATTAAATTATTGAAACGAGTACCGATTAGTGTCCTTTTTTTGCATATAAGAAGATCCGTCTTCTGATTGTCAAATGAGATGCACTTTTCGGAATGTTTATAGCAATGCACGTCATTTTGCCGTCGTGAGTAGAAATGCCTTGCATAATCAAATGTGCATCGTAACCTGTGAAAGATGACGGTTATCGGAGTACGGGTTCTTGAAGACTGCAGTGCACACATTGAAGAGAATTTGAAGACTGCAGTGCACTCTCAAAACGTTGTTAAAATGTGGTTGGTTAAAACAGTTGGTTAAAAGTTGAACCAACACTGTGTAAAATTTGCCAGTTTTGCCCAACTTTTACCCAACGGGCACATTTCGTCAAACGTTGGGTATTTGTTGTGCTGTTCACCGGGTAAACAACAGTTGGTTAAATTTTTACCAAACCCTGGTTAAAATTTGGATAAATTTTAAAAGCGTTGGGTACAAGGCACTGTCGCTTGCATTCCTCAAGAAACCTGTAGAGAGGAGACGATGAGAAGAAGTTACAGTTTTACAGGTGGGAGGAAAAGCCCAGACGAATATTTCGGGGGAAACCTACGAAATCAGGCAGGGGACTGAAAACCCAATCCACATATTGGCCCAGGTGCAATTTGAATTCCGATGCAACTTTTAGAATTTAATTAATAGACCACTGCTTAATCTTTGTCAGTCCCGCGCGTTGATCATTTGAAGCAGCATTATATTTATTTCAAATTTGTTTGTCTTGTTAAGGAGAGTAATGACATATTTTGTCTTTGGAATTTGGTAGGTAATGTAATACGGGACCTAATGTTACTATGAACAAGATGTTTCGAGAAACAAAGAGCTATTTTGTCATCATGACTCAAAAATTGAACATTCAGATGAGATACAATTCGTCACCGACACCACGAAGTAACACTCCACCGTGTTAAACCTGTTTTTTTCTTCTTCGATTTTCAATTTTTTTTAACATGTTCAAACATTATTCATCAAGGCCCACCATTTTACGAAGTTTCAAAGCTTCAAGAGGTTCACTTTAATAATTACGCTAATTATCCATGGCAACTTTTGCGCAAAAGTGACGATTTTCGTTTTTACGAAGTAACACACACTCAAGTTCCATTTACCATTGCAATGCATGGCGCGCGCTCTGCTCAAATGTGAGCAAAAAACGTTTTCACGAACTAACACCCTCCTTGTATGAGCGCGCGCGCTGACCTGAAGTTGCACTTTCCTCGTTTTGTATACATTGAAGAGTGTTACTTCGTGCAAACGAAAATTTTCGTTTCTCAGCTTTTGCTGTCTTATTTCTCGTTGATTTAATACACAAATGGGTGAAAAACAGCCGATTTAATGATTTCAATTCATCAAGTGTCCACAACGAGAAACCCAACTGAAAATACTCTGCCGTTTTGACGCAAAGTGTTGTTCTGGAAGGCGTTCAACTTTGGATGCTATTTTCTCCGATTGCTAGTTTTCACTGGTATGTACATGGGTGTTACTTCGTGGTGTCGCTGACAAATAGAGAAATTAAGATGTGTACATATATCTTTGTGGAATCCTACTGAACGTGTAAAACTTATGTGTACGGTATTAAAGTGTAATTGGTATTCCAAAAGATACGATTGAACTGACAACTTTGTCACATCATTAGTGATACGTCGCAAAAAAATGTAAGGCAAAACATTCCAATTTTGCAATTGTGGACTTCACGCAATTGTTATTGAGTATTGTGATGGGACTTACATTTAATCTGATTTGTTTAATATACTTTCAGGAGAAAGTTTTCCACCCATCATCCAAAAATGAAGCTTGAAATTGCATCTGTTATCGCAATCATCTGTTTCTCGCTGATTGTTTCGACCAGTGCACATAGTAAGTATCAACCAAATCTTTCCATGATAAGTACAAAACCTACCGAGGGCGGACAGAGCACACTGACCGGTTCTTTTCAGAACTACACTTCTTCCAAGAAGAGATCTCTTTCTACATGGTGTTACCCGCAAACTTTATAATTTAATAACAAAAGTGTTCCTCATTCTCCAAGGCCCTCTGATTCTTCTTCTTCTTCATCTTTTTTTTTTGGGGGGGGGGGGGTGTTCAATTCTTCTACCGTTTCCTTTAGTTGAGTTTTGAACTATCTTTCGCTAATTATTATTGTACTCATTGTGTCCTGCCCGGGGTTCTCCTCATGTTGTTGCCGATTTCATGTGCGGATTCATGTCGCCATTTTCCGACTGAAATTACGGCTTTTCTATGGGTACATCTTCTATAAGCTACAGTCACTCATGTTGTCATTTTCCTCACTTAAGTTTTACGCCTTATCTGTCGCTATTTTCCTAACAGAAATTTTTACACAGTGTGGGGACCCTTTTGGAATTTAAGTCATCCTGTCGCTTCATTAAAATGAGTAAAACTGCTGCAAGCTGCTTGCTGACTGCATTGAACCGAAAAAGTACAAATCAACAAACATAACAAGGCCAAAGTTTAGAGCGCTGTTGTCCAATGGAAATAGGTTTTGACTCACGTGGTACGTGGGTTCGAATCCTAAAGTGGAACATAGTACTTTGTTCTTGGGCAAGCCACTTTACTACAATTGTTTCTCTTCACCAAAGAGTATTTATGGGTTACTGTGAAGGTAGAGACCAGAATGCGCTGATCTCGAGCTGCTGAAAAAAAAACAGGTCTCGTGGCCTGATGAATAGTGCTAATAATTATTGTGACGAGCCTTAAGACCTTTGGTATGAAGCGCTATAAAAAAAAACTATTATCATTATTTATTATTAGCTGTTCCCAATACCGAATGCTGTATTTTCATTGGCCTAGAACAATCACGTGTTACTTAAGTTTATAACCAGTCACGGCACACTCCCTGTGGGATATCACGTACGTGATATCCTGCAGGGAGGGTGCCATGTACGCACGGTGTACGCACGGTGTACGCACGGTGTGAAACGCTTGTATCGTTGGTACCCACGCTATTATCACCGTATGCTTTCACACACGAGTAGGAGCAGCGAACTAGCAGACGATCAGCACGCAACATGCATATGAGTTGCCATTCGATTGTCATGATTGTTGTGTTTACTGCTGTTTGTTTTCGTGGTTTTTACACCACAATCCAACGAATCAAAGACGGTGTACAAAACAGTTGTTGACTGCTGTGATGTGAGATATGTTTTGAACACCCGAGGGGCGCATATAGCACCCGAGACAAAGCGGAGGGTGATATTCCCACCTTCGGGTATTCGGCTTCTCCTCGGGTGATATTCCCCCCTTCGGGTATTTGCACCGGGTGCTATGTGCCCCTCGGGTGTTTAAAGCGCATATCCCACATCACAGCAGTCAACAATTGTTAATTAGCACTGAACAACATAACCAGATAAACATATTGCATTCTTATCAATGTGAAATTTATCGTTCTCGTGTTATGACGTCATGAATATTTAATGAGGCAATCTTTATAGTCTTATCACTATAAAACTATTGGACCAATTGATCTCAAACTTGGTAAATAAATAGACACGGAAGTGTCTATTTATTTACCAAGTGTATGTCAAAGTATATGACCCTTACTTCCGGTTTCAAAAAAATATTCAGTTATTTTCTACAGTCCAATCAAATAATAGGATATCAAAAATATGTTGGGAACAGCTCTGTGGTTGTTCGGTTACAACCACATCTAGTTATTATTATTACTATAAAGTTTTGATCCCAGCAGAATCTTTGTTAAAGGCAGTCTGTCACCATTTTGTTCCTTATTGAGTCTTTACCCTTCTTCCTCTCTGTGTGAATAGTCTCTTGTGCCACGTTCCAAAAGTACAAGTTCCGCACTTTCAGTGTCGGACTGGGAACGAATGCTGGATGGTTTTTTATGAATGCGACTACGTGCCGGACTGCCGGGATAACTCAGATGAGGACCACTGCGAAGAAAAACGCGCTGGTAAGATGCAACTCTGTATGCACTCAAAACTCAAGCACGTTTCAACAGCTGTGAATCATTTGTCAGCTAAGTCAAGTGTCAGCGATTGAAATTCATGGACTGTTTGATGTCACTCGAGTTATTTCTTTATATATTTCCCGTTTCTTCTTGCAGTCGATTGCGAGCTAGATTTCCAAGATAAGATGGCAAGTGACGGCAAGCCCCTTCAGAGCTTCCAGTGCGACAATGGCATGTGCATCTTGGGATGTCGGCAGTGCGATGGAGTGATGGACTGCGCAGACAACTCCGACGAGTCCGGCTGCAACGGCACGGAGGTCATACCACCATGCCAATAGAGAGTGACAGGAGATAGTTGCTGGTTTAACAATATCCGGGGAAATAAATGTATGTTGTCCATGCGTGATGAGCGTTTATCGGTATAATCTTGTATGCCTAAAGTTTTGAGGTGCAACAACTCGAATCAGATTTGGACTAGATTAAGATTGCAACATCCCCAAAATACACTTTTCAAAAAAAAAAAAAGAAGAAGAAATAAAGATATACTCAAATATGGGAAAAACATTTTACACGCAGGTATTAACGACTTATGCAAATTAGGCACCCTTCCCAAAAGAATTTCAGGTGTCACCCATTCTAAATGTCTTCTCTAGGGCTATAAGAATCCATCTTTAAAGTTGGGCGCTTTGGACCAGTCGGTCACGATTCCGACCATATGCCATCTGACTATAGACGAATTCTTTTGTTGTAAACATGGGCGCCATTTTATATGGGCTGCCGCAAGCGCATTATTTGAAGCCGTGGTTGGCAACATGTTTTTCCCAAAAAAGTCCCCATAACGTCCTCAATACAAAGTAAAAAACATGTTTAGGAATTATGTTGTAGCGTTGTTGACAATATTGTATTTCCAACAATCAAATAATATTTTGGTGATCTGTAATAACTCTTCTTCACTTTTGCAGTTGTTGGACCTTCCATAGTTTTGCAACCTGGGTTGGCAAAAATGCAGTTTGCCAACCAAGCGTAGAAAGGTCTATTGCAACATCTGACAAAATTTAAATGAACATAAGGATTTTATTTTACCCCTCATGATAATTGTTGAAGGGATATAGCATTTCAGTTTTAGGATTTATTGATGCCTTCAATAAACACGTCTATGTGTTGGTAAATCAGAACATTAGTTACACTGTCAATTTCTTGAAGTATTTTTTTATTGTGGTTACTTATAACACTGCCCTCACTTACAAAAATAACAGATCCAATCCTTTCCCATCAACCGAAAAAAATGGCGTTTGTCTTTTTAAATTCTGAGAATACGGGGAGAACGACGTGAACATATTCCGTAGGCGGGTAAGGCAATTCATGGATGATTCAGTAGTTTCGAAGGATATATTTATGTTTATTCATGAAAAAGAAAGTGACCATTGATATAGAATATGGGCAATACATTATATCATTTTAAAGAGGAAATGCCATGTTGCCACAGTAGCCTATGCTAAGGCTCGGTAAATACCTGGTTGGAATCCACAGATGTAGCCTTTTCCTTCCACTATTGTTTTTCGGTCTTATAGATAATTTTTATTGAAGGGAAAGAATCCAAGATCATATTGCGTCTTGTAATCATTCCATAAAAACTACTGAATTATAAAAAAAAAAAAAAAATTAAAAAAAACCTAGGGGTCCGGGAAGTCTCCGTGGCTTTATGGAGACCGTGCCCCGTCATTTATTGTAGAACTGCACACTGAAAAAGGCTGGCAAGAAACCACCGATGAACAACCAAACGTAAACAAATACCAGAAACACAAAACGTACTGGACACTACCAAGTAATTATGTCTTTCCCATTCTCATGTGAAAACAAGAAAGTTATTGCCGCCTCACAAACGCAGGAGTGTCAGTGCCATAGTGTTATGCTTCTTAGTAATAGCTTGGATGTTGTCAGAGACAAAAGATTAAGAAAAGGGGGAAGAGCGCCCATTAAAGCGTCAAATGAGGTCCCCCCATTTGAAGTTTGCAACATCCGGCCGGTCAGCGGGTTCCCTCTGGATTATTTTGGTTCTGGATCTCGATCAGCAAGTGGCGGTTCTACGGGGGGGGGGGGGCAAATTTTTGTCTAGCCACCCCCCAAAAAATTCCATACAAAAATTGTACAAGCAAAATGTAAAAATGTGACGAACGTGCGAACGGTCTCCCCTAAATACAGTCGTGAGAATGGTTCATATTTTGTACACTTTCATTAATATAGTGTGCCTGATTGTAGGGTTTTATCAGCGCTCCCCATTGAAAATATGGCACGAACATCAGCCTTGGCTCCCAATTTTTGTGTACAAAACGTACCGAACATTGTTGTTGGAAATGTCAACAGAAGAGCGACAAATGGCTATTATTGAAAACTGTGTAATTGCATGATTCAATAGTTGCACGTGTTCGAAGTCTTTCAGTAACTACCAGGGCGTACTTGGTGAAGTTCTGCTACGGAATTAAAAAAATATTAATGGACAAGTTTGGCGACTCCGCGCGTGGTTTGTAAATGCAAGTACACAATAACAGTAAGTAAAAGGGGGCGCCACGTATGTGTGAAAATCGCTATACCGAACGATTGCTATTACGAACAATTTCTGTGGATCCCACGATATTCGTTATAGCGACGTTCCAATGTATTAACGAATCTTTTGTGAGTTTGTGAGGCTCTGAAAAAAAAAACAAGGCAAGCTTCTTTTCAGAATTTCAAAAAACATACCAAAACGGATTTGGAAACTCAATCTGAATGTTTGATCCTGTTATTTACTTACAATCAATCAGGACATTTCTGACCATTTTGGCAGTTACCTTTAAATGTACTCATGTGCGATTGGAATGACGAATTACAATGCTTCATTTTGGAGGACCAGAATGAAGCCCGAAATTCATTTTTGCATTAATTACACACACATACCGTGAGTTTTTGAAGTTGTTCTTCTCTTGTACTCTATTTTATTGACGATCTTTTCAACTATAGGTTTTCCCGGCCAATTTCCTGAAATGTTCATTCACTTCTGAAAAACGGTCATTTTTTTTCCGCCGCCCCTGAATGCTACTTCAATGTCTTGATAATAATAATAAAAACCGTACATGTATTATTTTGTAAAACCACAAATCTTAACGTGTCGATCCATGATGTGAGCATGTTACATCAGAACAAAAAACCAGGAGCAAAAACTAGTCGCAGCAGCAAGAACAGCGCCCTCCAAAACAATATCTTGGCATGACCATCACAAAAGTGCCACTCCATTAGATTGATCTCGCCTCGCTCACGTGATAATTATACAGGTTCCATGCTCGGGTGGGGGGGGGGGGGGACCGGGAAGACAGGGCGGTGTGCGCCCAAGAGGTGCAGACCAGTAAATACAAATTTGGGGAAATACTCAAAACTCTCACAGGTGATGTTCGAGGCATACATCGAATTAAATCTTGATTTGTCCTCTTTCACTCTCTATTGTGTTTAAGACAAATTTCGGGTGATTTTTTTTTCACACAAATCAGGATTACCCCTTCAAGTTAGTCCTGAAGCCCATCGCCATTGTGAAGGATGACTCCTCTACTACAATGAAACAGTGAGCGACTTTTGGTCCACCGTCTTTCCCAATATTTCGGATAATGATAGTTCAAAGACCGGTTTGGAGCTGAGCTCTCTTCGCTTGCTACAAAATCTCAAGTGCAGAGGTCAAAACTCTCTATTAAGAGAGCAATGGACGGTGACAGATCATGCTTTGGCCGGCGTTGGCAATTTGGGGCCTTTTTAATGGTCTACACCGGGCTGGGTTGATTTACAACAAACCCGCTAAACACATTCGACGGGAAAACCATGTTACTGCTTTTCACCTGGTATCGTATTTTAATTAATCTCAATTACAACTCGCACTAGATATGTGGTGTGCTTTATAAATTGAATTATTCCACGATTAGATTACAAAACCTAGCTAACTGCGACATGATTTTAATAGAAAAGACAACCATTTAAAAAAAATCAGCTCGATTTTGAAACTAGATGTTTTGGTCCTTTTAAGCAACTTTTTGCAGGATTAAGAAACATGCACTATCTGCAGTAATATATCAGGTTTTCTAATAATTGAAAATCGTCTGCTCTTTAAACAATGTAAACAATGTAAGCTGTGACGTCACGATTCTCGGTTATATCAAAAGTGAACCAAACTTGTATTTGTTTGTCATGTCTCCCTCAGGCTTTTCGTAAATGAAGCGAAAACATTTCACTGATAAAAGATGGGACTATTAAAGAGCGGTATTTTTCTTTTTCCTAACTAGATTTGGCCTCACGAACTTACATGACTTGGTGTGGCATGATATATAGACGTAACTAATAATACATCAACAGGATCTTGAGTCAGTTGTGGTAATATCTTTATTTTATATAATTCAAGTAGATACTTTCGAAGAAAAAAAAAGGAAACCAATCCGAGCCAGGACATCGAATTCATCCAGATCGGATAGCTCGTTAATGTTTGAAATTATACAATGAATTATTTCATCAAACAAAATTGGATGTGCAAAGTTGCAAACAGGCAAAATCAATATTTTTTAAAAGTCATTCAAAATTCAAATACGGATTTTGAATCTTCACTGTCGAAAAGCATTTTACTGGCTAAATAAAATTGATTTCAAAATTATTCTAGACGTACACTCAGGCGATAGATCGGTTTCAGTCCAAGTATGGCCGTTGAGGGCGCACTCACAGTGGAAACTTCATGGTGAAGGCAGGTCCCAGGCCCTCTTTTGGTTCCGGAGTGAGGAACTGTTGAGCATGCAAAAGGAATGTGAGGAACAACATTATATTTTTCAGTGATCATAATGACTCAAAGTTGATAAAAAAAAAACACCGATTACTAGTTCAACGGACACATGAGAAAAACACGGTTACATATTGAACGGATATTGGTTCTCATTAAATGAAAAAGCAGGGGGATGGGGGGGGGGGGGGGACTGGTACCCATCTCCGAATGGGGGCTCTTCACAACTGACCATTATTTTGCATCCTTGAAAATGAATGCCGATATTCACGGCGCATTGTTATGGCTTTGGAGCAGGTTTTCTTTTCTTTTTCAATGTCGGAACTCTATTAGCATTTATGAAAATAGTTGCTGAAAAAAAAATTCGTTCAACAAAATCCGCCAGCCCCGGGGCCTACTCCCTTGATGGTAATTAAAGTTTGGAAGGTTTCCATTGGCTTCCGGTACAAGAAACATTTTGACTTTAAGATTCTTTATGTCATTTTAAAGATTTTAAAGGTTATGGCACCAGATTATCTGAATAATCTTTTTCTTTTTTTCGATCCACTGGGCAAAATTTATTGTGTATTCTAAAGCCTTTGGGGCAGTTAATCTATAGTCTGTTAGCAATACAGCTAACTGCTACTTACTGGATACCTTTGAGATTTTTGTCTCCGGTCTTAAGACTAATCTTTTTAACTCTTTTTTTTTTCATTTTAAATCAAGTGAGTTTTTATCTTTCATTTCGAATTTTTCACATGTAATTAATTACCCTAAATTAAGTTAGGGTTTATTTTTATTAAAATGCTTGAACAGCGCTTGGAAATAATTAAAGGGAATGTACGTCATTGGCTTTTGCTGTATTTTTCAAAAATGAACTATTTGAGGGGTTAGTATAATATATCAAATATTGTTTCACTGACATGTTTGAAGTTTTGTGTTCAAAAATGCTGGAAAAAAACAAGCAAAACAAAAGTGTTCAAGTAGTCTGGTTCCCTGACTCCACTAAAGATGAAATGGATCAATTTATATAGATGCCGGAAAATTGTAAGGTAAGGGAACTAGTCTAGCTGGTCTGCACCCGTTCATGACGTGTAACCAATAGCAAACAAAATTTGGACTGAAAAAATGGTAAATTTGGAGCACTAGTTAAAAAATAGTTAGGTTTTTCCAACGGTGGTCGGCCGACCATTGTTGGAAATTTATACAAAATACCACTTTTCTTGAAAATGACTTCACACCAGGTGCCATAATTTTACAGGATGATTTAGACTGTCATTTATCAAAATCCTAGTATTTCGTAAATATTTGATAGTTTTGTTTTTTTCGATGTTTGCAAATGTTGTATATTCCCTTTAACATGGCCTTTTTTGTTTAAATAATAATAATAATTCTCGCAAA